TCAAGAGTAGTAGTCTGGGAAAATCCTGCCCTAATGTATAGGAACTGGCTGTTTAAGGTGGAAGGAGCTCCGATCTGAACAAGGCAGGCAGAGGCAGGATTGCACAAAATACAATGCATTAGAGACTTACCATAGAACCATCACTTGGTTGGACCAAGGTTGCTATGCTGAAGTGTACATTGGCGAACTGTGGTTAATAGAAAACACACTTCTTTCTCAAAATTTATCAATGTGTCAGTCAGAAGATGAAACTCAAATGGCTGAGAAACATTTAAAGAAATGTTCAACATCCTTAGTCTTCAGTGAAATGCAAATTAAAACTACTTTGAGATTTCATTTTATACCAGTAAGAAGAGCCAAGATCAATAAAACAAATAGCATTTTGCTGGCAATGATGTAGGGTAAGGGAAACACTCATCCATTTCTGGTGGGAGTGCAAATTTGTACAGTCATTATAAAAATCAGTGTGGTAGTTACTCAGGAAGATACAGCTATATCACTCTTGGGCATATACCCAAAGTATCTACATTCTACTGCAGGGGCACTTGTTTATCCATGTTCACTGGGGTCCTATTCATAATAGGCAGAAATTAGAAACAGACTAAATGTCCATCAACAGATGAATGGATAATGAAAATGTGGTACATTTACACAATATAATATTATTCAAAAATTTAAAAAGGCAAAATCTTGAAATTTACAAAATTCACAGGATGGAGTTAGAAAACTATTATCCTGAATGAGATATCCCAGACCCAGAAAGACAAATATGGTATGAATTTGCTTATATATAGATGTTAGTTTTTAAGCCTTAGATAGGCATAGGCATGCTATAATCTCTATAGCCATAAAGGTTAGGTATTGGATAAGGCACTGGGGGGAGGATCTCTTAAGTAAGAAGAAGTAGAGTACATAGTAATGGTGTGATAAGGAGAGACTGGAATGGGAGAAATTAAATGATGGGCTGGAAGAGGTCGGAAAGGGAGGGAATACAGGAGGGACAACTAATGCTAAGGACCATTTGAGAGGTCATGTGGAAACCTACTACAGTAGGAGTTTCTTTAAATATATACACACATGAAAGAAATCTAAATGGAATCACCAAATAATGGGGGAGAGACAATAGCCCAACTTGACATCTTTTACCACCAAGTGAAACTTCCAATGCCAGGAATGGGCTACATCTAGTTAAGTTGTTGGCCAAAGGAGACTCATGGAAACCTCTAAACAACAACTCAGGCTATTTCCAGTGCTATTATCTCTACAAACTGATGACAAGACCCTATTACTGACAATAGCACTTACATATCTCATTAAGCAAGAAGTTGAGATGAAGCCTAACTAGAGCTTTCATCACTACTGACTAGTGTTCATGGTACTTGAAGGTGCTCTGCATGCTACCAGAGAAGAAAAGTAACCACTAACCAAGCTATAATCCCTGTGATCTACAATGGTGACTTCCTGCAGAGTACACTGGTGTGATAGTGGCACAAACGTTGTGGGAGTAACCAGCCACTATCTGACTGAATTTGAGGCCCACTTCATGAGATGAAACCAATGCCTGACATTGCTCAGGGGGCCAAGGACTTGAGGCTAGATAGGCCATGGACCTAGAGGAAAACAAAATATTATTGTTCTGCTAAAAGAGCATAGTAACAAAGTGACTCCTAAGGACATTCTGCTATACCCATAGGTCAGTGTCTTCCCCAGCCATCATCAGAGAAACTTCCTCCTGCAATAGGTGGGAAATAACAAAGAGACCCACAACTAGACATTGTGCAGAGAGTAAGAGACCTTGGGACACTCTGTCCTAAATGGGACATCTTCATCAAAGCCCTTCCCTCAGGGCCCAGGGAACAATGCAGAAGCAGAAGAAGAGGCAGAAAGAATCACTGTGGATGGATAACACTAGGGAAAGAGTTTCTTCCAGACACAGCAGGACTGATGCACATTCGAACTCACACAGACCGTGGCAGCATGCACAGGGCCTGCGCAGATCCAAGCCAGAAGGGATCCCAGTGCTGAGATGGGGAAGTGGATACAAGCTCCCATCCCTAACCAAGAAGCTAGCTCCAATTAACAATGCTCTGTCTCTGTCTGTCTGTCTCTGTCTCTCTCTTACACACACACACACATACACACACACACACACACACACACACACACACACACACACACACACATTACTTTTCTCCAGTGGAGTCTCACTATAAGGGTAGGCCTCATGGCCAGCAGTAGTTGGCCAGCACAAAATAAAGTCAATGGTATTTTTGGAGATTTTTTTTTGTTTCATATTGCTTTATTTGGATATTTAAAAAATTCTTACTGGTCTCTTGCTGGTATACTATGGTTTCCAATTTTGTTTTATTGTGGGTTTTGTTTTTGTGTGTCTGTTTCTTGTGCTTTTTTCCTTCCTTCCTTCCTTCCTTCCTTCCTTCCTTCCTTCCTTCCTTCCTTCCTTCCTTCCTTCCTTCCCTCCTTCCCTCCCTCCCTCCCTCCCTCC